CTCCTCCTCCTCCTCCTCCTTGTCTTGTCCAGGAATTGAACCCAGGGGTGCTTAACCACTGAGCCACATCCCCAGCCAGAGCTGAGTTGCTGGAACTACAGGCATGGGCCACTGTGCCAGGCTTACACTTCAGAGTTTTGCATGCCATTGTATTCGACCCTCAATAAGAAAGAACCATACTATGCCGAGTGATCCCTGGTTACTGCTCTGAATGCAGAATGTCTGGGTGGGCTTTGTGCTGACAACTGTAATTGATTTTGAAAGGTATCCAAAAACAAATCCTGATTGGAGGATGCTCAAGGAGCAGTGCGTGGATAGGATACTTGTCACTCAAAGTTCTTAAAAATCACCGCAAGACTAACAAACACTGAACCAAGAGTCCTAGAGGAAATATAGATTTAGGTTCCTGCCAGACTCTGCACACATTTTCAAGGTACGATATGTCTGTGACCTTGTTATGTGTCCTTCTGTTTCAAGGCACCTTATGTAATATGTGTGGTTGGGCTGGGGGTGTTGCTCGGTGTCGGGTGCTTGTCCCGCAGGCACCAGGCATTGATCAACCCCAGTACCACAAAAATAATGTATCTACAGACTTGTTAAGATTTGTTGTTGAGGGCGGGTGCGATGGTGCACTCCTGTCATCCCAGCAACTCTCAGGGTGGGTGCCGCTCTCCCCATCCAGATTGAACCCAGGGGTGCTGAACCACTGAGCCACATCCCCAGCCATTTTACATTTTATTTAGAAACAGGGTCTCTAAACACAGGATCTGTATACAATGAGGATCAACAGTCTGTGATAAATAGAGCAAAACGTGAATTGTAGAATCTGGGAGGTGGGTAAGGGGCACGAAATCAATTCTTTCCATTTTTTGTATCTTTGTAAGTTTTTATATAATGTTGGGGGGAAAAATCTCCCCGTAGCAGCTGCCAGTTGTCTCTCTGCTAAGGTGGGCCCAGCAAGGCCACCTGGGCTTGAGCTAATATTGGGGCACAGGACCTCGGGTGCCCTTCTTAGATATGCAAGTGTAAGCAAGGGTACAAGAAGCTTTTGTGGGCTGGTCACAGGGGCACACACCTGTCATTTCAGGGGCATGGAAGCCTCAGGGAGGAGGACCCCAAGTTCAAAGCCAGCCTCAGCAACTTAGTGAGGCCCTAAGCAATTTCGGGAGACCCTGTCTCTAAATAAAATATAAAACGGGCTGGGGATGTGGCTCGGTGGTTCAGCACCCCTGGGTTCAATCTGGATCGGGAGAGCCGCATCCACCCTGGGTGTCCAGCCTTGGGCAGGGACGGGCCTGGGGCACAGAGGAGCAGCCTGCAAAGGGAGTCAGTGAGTGAGAGGGCCCAGGGGCATGTGGAAGGCTTCAGAGAAGCCAGATTCAGGTTCCGTTCAAAGCTGCGGGGATGGAGGACTCAGAGGTTCCCTGGGGCAGGGGCTGACCACAGAGTGGCCCGGGACTGGGGCACCATGGTGATGGAGCTGGCAGTGTCCCGGCTGCATGACTTCGCCAGATCTCAGACTTCGCTCAGATGGCAGAGAAATCTTCCTGTACGTAAACTGCCACTCAACCCGTTTATTTGAGCGGGAAAGAGCTGGGAGGGATAGGCATGTCCTGCACTAAAAAATGATAACGGAAGTAGGGCAGGGAAGAGTTGTTCTTTCTTTTTCTTTCTTTGTTTTTTCATTTTTTATCTTTTTTTTTTTTTGTACTGGGGATGGAGCCCAGGGGTGCTTAACCACGGAGCCACATCACCAGGCTTTTTAGATTCTCTTTTGAAACAGCGGCTCACTAAGGGCCTGGCCTGGAACTTGCTGTCCTCCTGCCTCTGCCTCCCCAGTTGCTGGGATGACAGGTGTGTGCCACCACACCTGGAAGGTAGGGAATGTCATTAAGGGCCATCTGCTGCTCTCAGGGTCTCGGACTTCCACCCCAGCTCTCATCCAGCCTGGCAGTCTACACCCACTGCTAATCCCAGCTCTCAAGCTGTGGTAGTGCCAGGCAAGCACTCGGTGCCCTCCTCGATGCTGCGTCCCCTATGTGATGGACACCAGTGAACCCCCCTGGCTTGCCTCCTCCTGCTCTGATCCTTTCTACTCTCCTCCTTCCCCAGCCTTGTCCCTGACTTGGGTCATCCAGTCTGTGGCTACCCATTCTGCCACCCCCACCCATCCCCCAGCTCAGCTCTGTAGCCTGAGGTTAGCCTGTGCTGGCATCACCTCCTTTGATCTCTACCAACTGTTTCTATTAATACAACCTGAGATACAGATCTAACTCACAGGGCGCCTGTGGTGGGCTGAACCCCACAATCTGTTTCCACCGGAGCTGAGCTCCAGCATCTGTAAGCTGCTCCTAGGCGAGTCTTCCCAGAGGCCTCCTGGGCTCAAGGACCCACCCTGTCCCCCCTGCTGACCTCAGTGGATCTACCCCCACCCACCCTCTGCCCACCTGGCTGTTTCTTGCTTCCTTCAAATTTGCCTCCATATTTTTATCCATGCAGTGCCACCCGCATCCTCCCAATCCAGCTGGCCCTTCCTGGCAGCTCCGATCAAGGGTTGGGGTACAGGATGCAGCGGCGAGGTGGGGGCTTGTCCAGGCACATGGTGGGCGGGTCGGGGTGGGGGCACCGGTCCCTGGGCAGGAAGCTGCGGCAGGAAGCCGTCGGCAACTCGGTTTGAGAAGTTCCGCCCCGGGGTGGCCACAGGTGCAGCCTGGGTAGCAGGAAGGGGGTCAGGCCGAAGAGATGGGAGGAGGCTGGTCCTCAGGGCCCAGTC